CTATCTTCCAATATCGGTCTTGTTTTACCCATGTATACATCTGCTATCTTCCAATATCGGTCTTGTTTTACCCATGTATACATCTACTTTCTTCCAATATCGGTCTTGTTTTACCCATGTATACAGCTACTTTCTTCCAACATCAGTCTTGTTTTACCCATGTATATAGCTACTTTCTTCCAATATGGGCTTGTTTTACCCATGTATACAGCTACTATCTTCCAATATCGGTCTTGTTTTACCCATGTATACAGCTACTTTCTTCCAATATCGGTCTTGTTTTACCCATACATACAGCTACTTTCTTCCAATATCGGTCTTGTTTTACCCCATGTATGTATGGGTAAAACAAGACCGATATTGGAAGAAAGTAGCTGTATGTATGGGTAAAACAAGACCGATATTGGAAGAACGTAGCTGCATACATTAACATTCATAAATGTATACAAGCTGCTACCCATGCGACTTTTGGTGTTTCCATAGCAGCGATTTGATTGAAATTATATTTTATTTTAGGGAAAAACTGAAATTAAAAAAGTAATTAATTTTCACGTAAGAATAAAAAATCGCTAATTTATCAATTTGCCACTAAACGTTAATATAATAACATGACATACACTTTAAAATTACAGGACTACACGTTCAATTCTTAACCCGAACGAATAAGTAGCTGTATACATGGGTAAAACAAGACCGATATTGGAAGAAAGTAGCTGTATGTATGGGTAAAACAAGACCGATATTGGAAGAAAGTAGCTGTATGTATGGGTAAAACAAGACCGATATTGGAAGAAAGTAGCTGTATACATGGGTAAAACAAGACCGATATTGGAAGATAGTAGCATAACTACAGCAGTGACGTGAAGATAACAATATTGTTTTTGTCATAGCCAAGAAGAGGTCACTCTGTTTTATTCCCAGAACACCAGTCTGTGTGATACAGTATAAGTGACATTCTTCCATTGCACGAAACTTAAAAAATTGATACTGGGCCAAAAAACCTATTAAAACACTTAGGTTCACATGCCCTTGACCTCTGAATAGACCTTGCGTCCCATTTTTGTTTCACGTTTCTTTGGTGTTGGGCCCACTGGTCGTTTACGAAATTTCCAGGGATTATTTTAACGATGTTTATTAGCTACGCACGGGTTTTTTTTTTCTCAACTATCTGTACGGATGGTGTATTACAATGAAATGCTTTTAACACACAACACACTTGTCTTTGGTTGGTAATTAGCTCTTGTTGAATAAAAAAGTATCCATGGTATTTTTTTTTGTGCAAGCGTGTTTTGAGCATTAACGACTTTTTGTGGATATATTGATGGAGTTAATTCTTGACGTTCACACTACCAAAAATGTATAATGATAACTAGCGTTTAGAAAAACCTTTCGTGTGCTTAACGTGATATCTCGATATTAATATTAGAATGCACAAAATAGCTGTCACTATCTATATATGGTAATACTAATCATCCGCCATTTTATCTCGAGCTGTGGTATTCTTATCTATCCCGCTAAATCGTTTGTCCCAGGGTGGTCTGCAGGACAATCTTCAACACATTTACAGCCCGAAACAGCATAAAAATTTTAAATTATCGTTTTAGAAAAACATAATTTATATGCTTTCCATAATATTACGTACAACTATCTAATATATGTAGCTTTGCGAGTTCGATTTAAATTTATAGAAGCAAATAGAACACCTGTAATGTGTTTTATAAAGTCTCTTCTCGTGCTAACTCTTCCTGCGTGTCGTCAAGCGGGAATCAAGTGTTTTTTTGTGTTTTTTTTAAACCGTGGAAAACACAGATGTTTTAGGATACGTTTCAACCTCTAAGCATACTTACTGGATATAAAAAAAACCTACGAACTCTCTGTAGTTTAGCTTTTGATATTAATTAAGTTTACTTTCTCTTCTTGTTCTTCGTAGATCTTTCTCTTCGTAAAATTTGGTGACTGAGTTTGTATGTGATCAATTGTAGATCAGTAGAAAATAAAAGGATTTTTTTTTCAGTATTAACTCCCCTTCCGTTTTTATTTTTATAATTCTATTTCTTGAGTGACTGGATACAAATTTCACTTATCGAATTACTTTTACCTTTCCGCATAGAAACTTCAAATAATCCTAATGCTGTTAAAACAACAACAAATAATAGTAAACTTTTAACTGATCTTTAGAGATCGTTTACTTACATAATTATTTTTTGTAGTAATATCTTAATATATATATAAACAAACCTTAGGAATTGGTAACGCTTGTTTGTTCAGTATCACACAAAACTACTCGAGGGCTATTTTCGCTAGCCGTTCTAAATTTAGAAGTGATAGGCTAGTGGAAGGCAACTAATCAACATCACCCACCGCCTACCTTTAGCCTACTCTTTACCAGTGGAAAGCGGGATTAACCGTCACATTATAACGCCCTCACGGCTGAAAGGGCAAGCATATTCGGTGACAGGTTTCGAACCCATGACTTGCTTGAAGACACATACGTTTGAGTTTAGTACAGACCTTAATAAAGTTGCCGCCAATCTTGATGAAGTCAACTATTCTGCGAAACTTTGATTACGTTTTCCTTAGTTATAACTTACAAACCTTTATTTGATTGACTCAAGGTAATTAATTATCAATTTAACATTTCATACTTTACATTACCGAAGTTTCAACTTCCAAACAACCAGTGCCACGTGCCCTAGTAATTTCTGGTCTAATTTAAGTCTTTACTAGCCTTTTCAACACCAAAGTGATCATACAGCACTGATCTTTGAGAGATCAGTTACTGATTTGTTTGATAACTTTTGAAAAAAATCGGTAAAGAAAATCACTTGATTCAAAGCAGGATAGAATAGAAAATTCATTTTGATTAATGAACAACTATTAATGAACAAAATAAGTTTTAAACACGGTCAATTAATTTTCATTATACGCAAGACGAATATGTTACTTGTGTAACAGAAATCTTGGGAATAAAATATTATTTTATACATTTCTTTTGTTTCTGTCATCCATATAAATATATTTTGTGTATATAACTTTTTTTATACTTTTATGAGATTAGATTATGACTATGACATCGTTTTAATTTCGGAAGAAGATGGCTACAATAGACCGTTTCTTGTAAAACAAGCCGAGCATGAATATAAATATATTTTCAGTGCCACCTGAGCCTCCTCAAATCGTCCAAGGCAGTTCTCTACTGACAACAGCAGGAACTCCTGTTCAGCTTATTTGCGAAGCCCACGCTGGTAAACCACCTGCAGAGGTAATAATTACATTCGTAGAAACTACATTCTAAGAACGTTAGATTAAGTACGATCCATTCAAGCAAAGTTCACGCTGGTAAACCACCTGCAGAGGTAATAATTACATTCGTAGAAACTACATTCTAAGAACGTTAGATTAAGTACGATCCATTCAAGCAAAGTAGCACGCTGGTAAACCACCTGCAGAAGTAATAATTACATTCGTATAAACTACATTCTAAGAACGTTAGATTAAGTACGATCCATTCAAGCAAAGTTCACGCTGGTAAACCACCTGCAGAGGTAATAATTACATTCGTAGAAACTACATTCTAAGAACGTTAGATTAAGTACGATCCATTCAAGCAAAGTAGCGAGTTGCTAATTGTATTAAAAATATTTTGATGCTTTATTCGCTAATACTGAAAACCTATTTAACTCATTATAAAGCTAAATTGTCTTCATATAATATTTATATTATGTTTGAGTTAGATATATATGAACTAACAGTATATTTATATTATGTTTGAGTTAGATATATATGAACTAACAGTATATTTATATTATGTTTGAGTTAGATATATATGAACTAACAGTATATCGATAAAAGTACTTTACTATAATAGTCGGACTTAATTAATTGATTTTAGGCCCTCCCCCACGGTGATTTGAGGGTTTATATAGCTAAAATTGAGTTTCGATACCCGCAGTGAGCAGAGCACGGATAGCTGATTCTATAGGTTTGTGCTCAACAACAAACTCACAAACAATTAATTTTAATGGTAAAATATACTCAATATGCGTCAGTTAATGTTACATAGAAACATAACATCATAACATGTTGAAATGGAGTTTGTTTGTTTGAAATTAAGCACAAAGCTAAACAATGGGCTATCTGTACTCTGCCCACCACGGGTATGTCTGCAGACATACCGCTGTGCCACTGGGGAGGCTTGAAATGGAGACGATTTTAAAAGTACCATATGAATAGTAAATTTGAGCAATGAATTATTATCTCACACTAGTCAAAGCTAAACTTTATCAATGTCATGTTGATGCTCATTTATTTATTATTTTTGCTTGTTTGTTTGTTCCTACCAACTCGATTTTATAAACTTATGCTTAACTCTAACCTCCCGCAAAACTAATATAAAATATAATATAATAAATGTTTTTTTACGTTGTTTAAAACTACGGTATCAAATGCGTTTATGTAGTTTAAAACTACGGTATCAAATGTGTTTATGTAGTTTAAAATTACGGTATTAAATGTGATAATGTAGTTTAAAACTACCGTATCAAATGTGTTTATGTAGTTTAAAATTACGGTATTAAATGTGATAATGTAGTTTAAAACTACCGTATCAAATGTGTTTATGTAGTTTAAAACTACGGTATTAAATGTTTCTATGTAGTTTAAAATTAGGGTAATAAAAGTTTCTATGTAGTTTAAAACTACGGTATTAAATATTTCTATGTATTTTAATACTACGGTATTAAATGTGTTTATGTAGTTTAAAATTAGGATAATAAATGTTTCTATGTAGTTTAAAATTACGGTATTAAATATTTCTATGTAGTTTAATACTACGGTATTAAATGTGTTTATGTAGTTTAAAACTACTACTTAAAAAATATTTATTATCGTAGTTTTAAACTACTTAAAAATATTTATTATCGCAGTTTTAAACAACGTAAACAATATTTATTATCGTAGTTTTAAACTACTTAAAAATTATTTATTACCGTTTAAAACTGCGATAATAAATATTTTTTAAGTAGTTTAAAACTACGGTAATAAATATTTTTTAAGTAGTTTAAAACTACGGTAATAAACATTTGTTATATAGTTTAAAACTCAAGTTATAAAGTGGTAAAAATGACACTCTTTTATACTACATGTCCAATGTGATTATAAAACGGTTGTCCTCGAATATTACCATGCATGAGTCAACATCTCATTATATGTTTAAACGTAGTAGGAAGTTTAAGAACACGTTTCAGATTTTATTTCCCAGTTTTGCTGACAAACTAATCTTAGTTATTTCTGTAGTAACCAGGTATGGACGAATAGTAGTTTTGGTTGGATATCGGGTTTCGGATTACTTGCTCCAGATTTCCGATCGAATTTGGATATTTTTTGGATGGGATATTAGATGTTACCGTACATTTTGAAAATACGGCGCAAGCGTGAGCTCCGTCTTTCTTGTTGTATAGAACTAACTAGTTACTTTGTCATTGTTTGTTCTTAGTTCAGGCTTATTGTTTTCGTATTTTCGGGTTCTTATATCGTGAATAATTCTTAACTACAATTGTTGTGGTAACACAATTATAATAATGTTATAGTCGATTAGCCATCCCATTAACTGTACATCTAAAAACGTTCTTCAAATCTAAACAGTCTATATATATGTGTGTGTTTTTTTTATGTAATGAGTTTGAACAATCTGTCAGTCCCGCCTATACCTTTTGGAAGAGAATCGTATAATTCAGACAACCCCGGAAGCTTCTACTGAGTGTACACGACGAGATTATCTAGTGACCTCGGGTTTAATCGATGATCAAGTGAACATCACCAACCCACTCAGTGTTTCATGGTTTCTATTAATGAAAATGAGCTAAAAATCTATTGGTTTGTAAAGCTGCTGTTGTTTTTACTTTCGTATTGATGATATAGAAAAAAAAAGTAACGAAGGAGGTTTGATACTTCTGGAAGTCTATCTGTAAGGGCGAAAAAAATAAAGTCCCTGGAAATAAATCTGAAAGAAAAGATCCAGCGTTGAGACAGATGGATATACAACAAATAAATAGAAAGAATGACACTGTGTACTCAAAAACGCTGCTGTCTGTTGATAGGGTTTCATTCGGTTTGTCTTTCAGCAAACTTTCGATTCTTTGACAAGATCTGTTTCTGGAAACTTTATTGACACTTTTGATTTTTCTGTTCTATGGGCGCCTCAGTCTAGGTGTGAGTGACGATAATTTGGTATGTGACGAGATACTTCGTATTTTTCATAAATTACTGAAGTACTTGAGAGAATCTCGTGGTAACGTTTATTACCCTTTAATTCTGGGTTACATAAGTCTGTATTACACGAAATACTCCGTATTTTCTATAAAGTATTGGGTGACATAAGTCTGTATTACACGAAATACTGCGTATTTTCTATAATGTGCTGGGTTAAATAAGTGTGTTTTACACGAAATACTTCTTATTTCTATAATGTGCTGGGTGACATAAGTCCGTATTACACGAAATACTCCGTATTTCTATAATGTGCTGGGTGACATAAGGGAAGTCCGTATTTTCCATAAAGTACTGGGTGACATGAGAGAAGTCCGTATTACACAAAATACTCCGTATTTTCTATAATGTTCTGGGTGACATAAGGGAAGTCCGTATTTCTATAATAGTACTGGGTGACATAAGGGAAGTCCGTATTTCTATAAAGTACTGGGTGACATAAGGGAAGTCCGAATTACACGAAATACTACGTATTTTCTATAATATTCTGGGTGACATAAGGGGAAGTCCGTATTTCTATAATGTGCTGGGTGACATAAGAGAAGTCCGTATTACACGAAATACTCCGTATTTTCTATAAAGTACTGGGTGACATGAGAGAAGCTTGAGTTTTATTAAATACTTTGTATTATCTGTGTTTGTGCATGCTCGTTCCTCAGCAATTCCAAAAATGTAAAATATTTCAATATATAACATTTCAACTCGTTGGTTCATGTGGTGTAGACACTAACGTTCAGTTTATGAATGCATTCTTCTCGTGTGTGCAAATTCAAAGGCCTAAGAAAGAAACACATATAAACCTAACAGCAACTTGTTGGGCAAAAAAAAAAGTCATCTGACAAATTATACTACTTTCTACACGAAATTGACAATGTAATCTAATAGAGAAAGCCTGTTCAGACGGAACCCCTCATCCTCATAATTTTCACTATACGGATTGTAATTAATCCTTAATTTAGTCTGGGAATATTCGTGCAAAGCTAATCTTAAACTTATAGACTATAAGGAAGACAGCTAGTCAACACTACCCACCGCCAACACTTGGGTTACTCTGATCGAATAGGGAGATTTGAATTTCAATTTTATAACGCACTCTCGACCCCAGATTGTTTTCTCGTGGCACGGAACTAGAACTAAATGGACCCTCGGATCTACAGTTTTGTACGCTAGTCAGTAAGTCACGCCCTGTCATTGTCTTCGTCATACAAAACATTTGTTTACTGTTTCTTATTATACTATGTTTTTCACTAAGTCACGCCCTGTCATTGTCTCCAAAACATTTGTTTACTCTTTCTTATTATACTATATTTTTCACTAAGTCACGCTCTGTCATTGTCTTCATCACCCAAAACATTTGTTTACTCTTTCTTATTATAAAATGTTTATTGTTAATTTAATCCCGAAACAATTTACTTACAACGTTTAAGTTGTGTGTACAAACATGACAAAACATGACATAAATTTCACATCAGTCTTCCAATTCTGGTAGGTTTAGAATGTCTGATCTGATGTATACTGATTCCACAGACACACGTATTGGGGCTAAATATAGAGTGCTAGAATTTTAATTTTATCGTCCCATTATAGGGGCAATCTGTAACTTTAAAAACCAAGTTGATTGATCAGAGACCAAAGTGTTCGACCTAATGTCATGAAGCCAAGTCGAATGATCTGAGACCTAGGTGTCCGACCTAATGTCATGAAACCAAGTCGATTGATCTGAGACCTAGGTGTCCGACCTAATGTCATGAAACCAAGTCGATTGATCTGAGACATAGGTGTCCGACCTACTGTCATGAAACCAAGTCGACTGATCTGAGACCTAGGCGTCTGACCTACTGTCATGAAACCAAGTCGAATGATCTGAGACTTAAGTATCCGACCTAATGTCATGAAATCATGTCGACTGATCTGAGATCTAGGCCTCTGACCTAATGTCATGAAACCAAGTCGACTGATATGAGACTTAAGTGTCCGACCTAATGTCATGAAACC